ACACACACATTACATTCCGTCACGTTGTCACCCTCTTTTATATACCAGACTACCCTATATCTAGTAAATACTAGAGCATTCGCCAAGGTACAGGACAGTTCTAGAAAACAGGCGGCGCCACACTAGTCACGTGACCTCGATGACGCAACCTGCCCCTCCTTAATATTGTTCGTCCCGAACAATAACCACATATAATAAACTAATAACAATTAACAATAACTTAATTAAATGTACAGAAATACAATCACAAAATTAGAATTCAACAAAGTCTCTTAATTTTACGGGACGTATCTTCTTCCGTACTGGTCTCCGTCTTGTTGGCTTCTGCTTCATGTGGAGTTCATCTGCTTCATCAGTAAATGTCCTATCATCGGTAACAGTCACATCAGTGGTAGTAACTTCACCAAGAACTTCACCGTTTCCCTTCTCAAAATTGAGTAGAGTTTCTTCTTCGATGGTGACTTCTTCAGGTGGCACGTCTGCAGCAGCGTCATTTGTTCTGTTGTCCACTTCGTCCCAACTGAAATGTCCTGGACCGTGATAACGCCAAAGCCTGTTGGCATGCACCACTTTTGGCTTACCTCGCCGACCACATTTTATTCGGAAAGTCACGTCTGAGAGACGATCCATTATGTCATATGGGCCTTCCCATGGAGAAGACAACTTAGGAGACTTCCCTTTGGTCTTCCTGGGATTATACAACCATACCTTGTCTCCTGGTACAAAGCTGACTTCAGTAGATCTCTTATCATAAGTTAACTTCATCGAATCAGCAGACGTTTTCAAGTTTGAATGCACTTGATGGTGAATATCATCCAACACTTTCCCAAACTCTGACACATTCACAGGCAACTCTTCATAAGGTGGGCATCCTTTATGATTGGGTCCCCTTTTTGCATTACATGTACTGCATGTCCAGCACCATTCTTCCACATCTCGCCTCATACCTATCCAATAAAATCTTTGTCGTAGGTGACTCAGTCTTCTTAATTCCGAGATGTCCTCCTGTTAAATTATTATGGGATTGATGCAGCACAACTTCCTCGGTATAACTGTTTGCCAAGTCATCACTTTCCCATTTGTAGTTTCCCATCTCCGGACATGAATACCATTTTCAAGCTTCAACTGGTCCCATTGTGCCCAATAGTGCTTTGTCACAGGGCTTAGACTAGACACCTTCTTCCAAGCAGGGCGCAAAACACTTGCTTTTACAAAATCAATTATTGGCTTCAAATCTTGGTCTTTCTCCTGTTCTGCCTTGATATCGATACCTGGTCCCACTTCGTCATCATCAACTTTTTCAGTCGGCTTGACTTCACCTTGATGGCACCTAATTATTTCAACCTCTCTTTTAACAGTTACCGGAACTTGGCCTTCGTTATTCCCAAAACATCATTTTATCAAAATCAATTACAAACTTCCTTGGTAATAGATA